TTCTTTGAAGGTCAGATTCAACAAGGAGCTGGAAACATTCCCCAGACAAGACATGAGATGCCATCTGAATACTAAATGTTCAAAGAACCAGTTTGAGATCTCCTGCTAGAAACATCCACACCGACAAGATATTTTCCCACAGAGAATATTTTCACACATCCTCAGGGTGGTTATGGGGGAAATGCCAGCACATCTGAACAATCATGCAATACTCGGAGTCCTTGAAGTGACTTTTCTTTCCCATTCTTACCCTTGGTTTGAATATCAATAGGCTGTTTTGACCTTGTCTACATGCATGCAAACACACTGAGTTGTTCCTGAGGTCGTAGGTTAATGGCTCAGTGCTTGGTTAAAACATATTTACATACTACATTTACTTTTGTATGAGAGAAGAATGACAAAGTCAGTAGAAATATTTTTAAGTAAATGTTAGGGCATTACACTCTTTTCATTTTATGTCAACAAGGTGAATAGGTGAGGTGTTCTCTCAGTGACATAGTGTCCCATGTCTCTCTTGAAACTTAAATTCCTTGGTGTCTGGATGGTGAAACAAATAATAAAACTCACGGCGTTCATTAAACCCTCTTCCCCCACAGAGGACTCGGATAGCTCAGCAGGTAGAGTGGTTGCCCCATGATCGGAAGGTCGGGTGTTTGAATCCACTGAATGGCTACCCTGAGGTACCCCAGAGCAAGGCACCGTCCCAACACACAGCTCCCCGGGTGCTGGATTGGTGGCTGCCCACTGCTTCACTGAGTGAATGGGTAAAATGCAGAGGAGTAGTTTCCCTATGGGAATTAATAAAGCATACATTACATCATATTATCCCCCATGGAGGAACTTACAGAGGCAGTAACTGAAAGCTGATGTTGGATGACGCAGCTTTTTGAGTGGCAGAAAGTTGGATGACAAAGCGCTATAAAGCCAGATTAGCTCAATCTACGCTGGAGGCAGCCAGATTACAGAAAATGTCGAATCCTCACGTATTTCTGATCCCTCGCCGCTGTCTTCTGCAGAGTCTCTTGGGGAAGGGACGGCAGGGGGAAATCTAGAAAGGGGGGAGGAATTTCCATCTTTAATAAAACCAAATAGAACAAACTGTGCAACATTGAAACATTGAAATACAAATTACCAGGAAAAGTGAAGCCAGAGCTTGGACCTGAGTGAAGGGAGGGAACTGGGTTTGGGGGTAGGCGGAGCTCCTTCCACCTCTCTTCTTCCCCCCAGCCGGAACTCACAATCCACTCCTCTGGGAGACCATCCCTTACCGACACTGCAATTCAGTGAGGTGAGAGATATTCCCCCTCTCCGTATGATTTCTCCTATTGTTCCTGTAAATAGCAAACAGACAGCTACAGGAGACCTGGACTCCTTCCGGATCCCTCCGGCTCCACAACTGCTGCACATAAGTCCTTCTAAGTCCTTCTTTACCGACATCCCATCCTCTCACTTCTCTCCTTCCCCCTTCAACCTCCCTTCCTGCGCCGGACCAAAGACAGGGGGAGGGGGAGAGACCTGGGAGGGTGAAAGCTGTGCCTCTAACCTCCCATATGGATTTTGTCCAATAATACACAAAGGAGGCAATGAACCGGGACCAAAAGCCATTCATTACATCAAATTAAAGGCATTCACTCTAATGTGTCAGCTTTTTTAGGAAACCACCAAAATATCAACCTGCAGTGACGGGTCCAAGAGCACCAGCCAGAGTCCTCCTCCTGTAGTCAGAGCTCTGGATGACTGCAGGGGCGCCCCCTGGGGGAGGTCGGGGAATGGACTCAAATCCAAAGGGTGAAAGGAGCTCATGTAGAAAAAGGTGGTGGGAAGTGACAACAGCATGATGATAGCAAGGTCTGTGAGCCATAGTATGGCTGAGTACAAAGTGGCGGCGACCTCATCTGACCCCAAAAATATCCACCCCGCTGAGCCTCCAGCCAGACCCGCCTCCTCCCAGGGAGAACCCGAGAGACGACAGAGGGTGAGAAGGAGAGACACAAAGGAAGAACAGTGAACAGGGCATAGGTATCATCCCAATTATCATAATGCTAGAAAAGGGAGGAAAATTATGGATTGGGAATTCTGAGGGAATAAACCAATTTGGTTTATTAAAACCAAGTCTTCATTTTGTGCTTCTTAAGCCATTCAGAGGTGGACCTGCTGCTGTGTTTGGATCATTGTCCTGCTGCAGAACCCAAGTGAGCTTAAGCCGGAGATTCTCCTTCACAAAGTATTGGTAGACGGAATAATTCATGGTTCCTTTTACTACGGCAAGTCTTCAGGTCCTGAGGCAGCAAATGATACTCTTCTGAAATGTTGTGGTACTTTTACGCCAGATGTCATAGAGCAGCGGTCCCCAACCTTTTTTGCGCCACGGACC